TTCGCTTACCCGCCCTGCTGTATGCAGCAAGTAAGGCGACCCGGCTGATGGCACCACGCGACGGCCGATGTGGCATGAGAATATTGTTAGGTGTGTAGGTCATGGTTGTACGAGGGCTGGGATACTGCCAGGGCGCCCACACCTAGAGAGGAGGACGATTAGGGTCCTCAACCAAAGCCTTTGGCTCAAAAGCCTAACCGCAAGGCAGCGGTTTTGGCGGGAAATGCAAATGCATTACCATTTCTACGGAACAAGTCGCCACATGCTCCAACCCCCAACCTGGAGGGCCAGGAGACTGTGTTCGTCAGACCTCTAACCATTGACCAACCTGGTATGAGAGACTCTGTGAGTGTCGCGGGACACTCTCCGTTATGGCTCAATGGATCGCTGAGGTGCGCAAACCGTCACACCACGGTAAGGTCCAGTCTCTTCGTGACGGGAACATCAAATAATTTGCGGTGTTTGGTAAGGTCCAGTCTCTTCGTGACGGGAACATCAAATAATTTTGCGGTGTTTATTACAGGAGCTATAAGCTTTGTACTGTCGTACTCTATCGATTCTTTGCTTCTCTCATGAATATATAGAACGGGTCTTAATACCTCGAATGTATCTTATTCTGACCATCATTGATGTGTGACCTGATATAAGGAAGGAACAGAATTCTATGCACTTGTCTCTCGTCAGTCTATGAAACGTACAGAACAGCAAACAAAACACACTGTCGTCAAAAAAGGATAATAGAATCGATGTCTCCAAACATTGCATGCTTTTGAATGACGCCAGAAGTTATCCTAAATCTTATTAGCTTGTCATCTATTGTAATTTCACATTGAAGTTTGGTCGAATTACAGTACAACTACTAATATCCTTTTGTCGCGCAGCTGACATGCAGCTCAGATGAAGCACCAGGACTTAGCTGATGTCAGGTTACCAGGAGCTAGTCAAGATATCGTAGTCGAGTAGAGAGGAGTGTTGTTAGCTTACGTGGCGTAGATGGTCGTTGGTTGGTGGTTGGGCACAACCAGCGACTCGTCACTACGCTCCACTGCGCTCCCGAACAACGCACTGATCATGTCACCTCGATTGGTGATGGAACGTCCGCGATCACACTGTCCAGCTCAGTGAACAAACCAACGACCATATCCTGGTTGAGTTCGGAACACAAACCGTCTTGTCGGTGAGTATGCCTCTTAACCGCTGAGCTACCTCAAGCAGGAATAATAGCGATGTAGAAGGTAGCGAAGATGCGAGAGTAGCTGTCATAGAATAAATGCATCATCATCCTCATAACTGCCATCAGCGCCATCGTCATGCCATCAAATCCCTCTCCCGGCCCTCTTCTTTATCGTGTTCATGATTATCGCCATCAGATGCATCAGCACGATCATCTTCCTCCTTTCTTTTTTATTGTCATCGCCACTGTTGGTTTTCTTCTCGTATTCCACTTCTTCCTCCCTACTATCTCCACACCCGTCACTATCGTCACCACAAACAGTAGAATCGTCACCATTATTGCTACCACTATCATCATTATCACAATCATCATAAGCCCGTCTGTACATTTTAGATATTGCTTACGTCATTCAACTGATGATAATCAATGGACTGATGGATTCATCATAGTGACTGCAAAATTTGTGCAAATAGCTTCGTAGACATCCACCCTCATTCGTGCGTGGCTTGCCAATCCTGAATGGTCTATAGAAGCTCCTTTCAAGCGGACATTTTTTGGAAGAATGGAATCTCTAGATTCGGACATTTTTTTCAAAACCGGAACCTTTTGTCTAGTTAGTCCAAACAGAAACGGGAATAAATATAAATTTCACATAGTTTTGTAATCCCAGCTATTTTGATAGCTCTCTTGTCATGGTCCAACTTCACTGCTGTGTGGGAGAAATGCCGAGTTTTATTCATTATCCAATAAGTTTTTCCGGAGTAAAAAACTCCTAATGAATATCGGTCTAAAACGAACTTCTCGTTAGTCATCATTTTTCTTCAGTAGTACAATAACTGCTTACATTCAGAAGGCGTGGAGCGTTCTCAGGTTTTTTGAGTTCTTCAATCAATTTGGGCTTTTCTGCATCCGGTGCCCGGGCGATTTTGTAGGCCAAATCGTGAAGATCACTGCACTGAAATGCAAATAAGGAAGTATTGTGCACTTGTCAGACTTTCTGTCTTCTGAGTGTATTCGTAGACTTGAATTACTTCGAGTGGTAGCCTGAGCGATGGTCGGATTAAACATTTGGAGTAATTATTTTGATTTTCTCGTATATCCCTCACAGTTGATCCGATTTACGTCAGTTTGAATCGTGAATTAAAAAAACACCAAGTACTTTTCGCAGAACAACTGATCATGACCTGAACCGATAAAAATAGCAAAATCTAACGTGTTTGTTGCCCCACATCAACCGTTTTCGCGCAAACATTGTAGGTGCGCAGAGTGTCGTGTAGCAGGAGTTTTCTTATCGTTTGACCTACTTCTTTCGGTCACACTGGTAAAATCAATAGTTGAACTTATTTGAAACGGAGCCGTGGAGGACGATACGACGGAATGTTTGCGTGTGACACTTCTTCAGTAGTTCATTATATGTACTTAATTAAGCGTAAACCGGTACGGCTACAAACCTCTCCAAGCGACAGAAAGAGGGACTAACCGGTTCACTAAAACGGTAGTGCCGATTTAACTCCGGGTAGATTCTGTTCTAAAAACAACCTATTATCGCAAGTAACAATGTGCTCTGGGTTGATTCTCGTCACCTCTGTCTAAAATTCTCAGAGTTACTTGTGAGTGACCCTTGTAATATTGTGATGCTTGGATCTTAACAAAGAACCCGAGAACCTGTGTGTTTATACATGCATCCATGTATATATATATATACGTACAAAGATATATATATATATGCTGTCGTAAATTCAGACCACTTGGAGCTAACAAGTAATCCTGTGCAGTCACCAACTGTGGTAGTCCTCATTCTGAAAATTTCCATGATGAGAAATTTTGTGAACATGTCACAGTAAGATGTCGAATAAAAGGCTTCACACGAGATGTGACAACTAGGAGACCGGTTTATCCCCGCTTTGGCATAATATATACGTTACATGCGGCCGTTTGCGTAGATTGAGCTTGATTGAACTAAACGTTACAGAAAGGGCTCGTATGGGAGTATGATTTCCTTCGGATGTGTCTTGTTTGTGTACTGGGTAATGCGCGATGACGAAAGAGAATAACAGCACTGTTTGCCATCAACTCACACGATGCTGTCTTACGAAGACCATGTGAATCTTAGCAGGGCTATTCTTTTTCTTCTGAATAACTATCTGAAACAAAAGATAATTAATTGGTTTTGAAATCCACCTTTGAAAGCTACCTTAAAAAAGTAGGCGAAGCTAGGCCCCGGCTTGTTATGTCTCGGAACCTTGGCTCTTCGTTCTTCAATGTAGCATTCTATCCGCTTTACAAATCTTTTTGGTCTCACGTTCCGCGAAAACACCACTTGTTTCACGTTTTACTGTCCGGTTTCCTTCACTTGCCTTAAACAAGCCTAGAACTAACAAATTTTAGTGGAGAGCCCTATCATAAGTTATTGGAGAGTCTAGTTGACTCAAGGTGGTGGATAATAGCTAGGATCTCTAGCTAACCACTGTCTCCGAGTGTAAAATCATTCGTAAGTCAGTACTGATTCATATCAATTTGGAGTACGTTGGACACTTCAAATGTGTGTCATCAAGGATCAGTTGACTCGTCGGATTTTCAGGATGGCCAGTGGTGTAAACAAAAGAGGATTCTCAAATGATATTTCGTCTGCTGAGTGCGTTTCACACTGATTCGAAGCATATTTAGTGCCACTGAACCCGAGTTACTTAAGTTTTGTTATAAAACATAAGCGAAACGTCCCAGCCAAACGAAGTTAAAGCCTTCCAAAAATAAACTAGCAAACTGGATTGGTTGTAACTGGAGAATCAAATGAATTTAACTGCATCTCCGGTTTGTGATGTTTCACGAAGACAAACAAAGAAACCCTCCTTAATTATAGGCAGTTGCGGGTTCTGTGGAAATTTTGTTCTTGCCATTATTGCGCGGACAATCACCTTCCTCTTTTAGTAAACGTGTAGTAGCACAGAACATAGACGTATTTTTTCTTAAACCTCATCAACGGTGCCCTTGGTCGCGCCGGGATCTGTCATGCAGTGCAAGCGTGTTAGGACTGCTCAACAGGCGCAAGCTGGACCCACCCGACCCATCGCATCTGGGCATACAAACTAGTTTACTTTTGAACAGAGATTGGTTCTTTACTACAATGTGAACAGGAGAAAAGTTACCAAACAATTGATGTCACTATGACAAAGTCAGAGTGAATAGTTTTTGGGACAGACACCGGTGCAATAATATTTTTGAGACAAAACAGTGTATGGGTAGTTCCCCACCAAACTCCACACTCGGCAGTGTATACACGCTGGCTCAGCGTTTCATTCGAACACAGACAAGGGTATACGCAGAATCGGAGTTCGGTACACCGGGACGTGAGAGTTTATTTTTCTGCTGAGTTAATTATCCAAGTAGATACGATACGTCCCATAAGCACATTCTGATCACACTGAAGGACTACCGTTATAAGGAAGAATTGACAAATATTCTGTAAGTCGTATCACCTGGAAGAGCTGATCTAGCTGATTAAAACAGTCAGGGTGGAGAGCCAAAACAGATGATGACAAACAAGTGAACTGAAATCGATCGGAAGTAGAATTACTTTAGTTGATATTAAATTGCACATAAAGAGGTATGTACGAATAGTAAGAAAATAACTTATTCTTGAAGTCACACGACTAAATGGAACTTTCCGGTTTACGAAGCTGATCCACATTAGTTACAAGCTGCGGTGAATGTATAAACCAAGATTGATGAATCACCAGAGCCTTCTCAGTGTACAATTTTTATCTTGACGGTTATTGAATTGATCACATGGTCAATGTGGACAGTGTGTCGGGTTGCGCCGGAATTCGCAAACTGGGATTCAGAACTCTGGATGTTTGTTTATGATGCCCCACTTGCCTTGTTGTTCTATGGATATAGATGAATCTACAATCAAGTTGGAAGGGTAGTTTGGTCTTGGCGTCTGCCTGCAACCTCCTCTCAAAGTAGTTTTTTGGGAAACAATTTTTCTTCACCAACTTACCATGTACCACTACTGGATTCTGCGCTTTAAGCGTATAATCACTCCACGTGCCTTTAACTATCCAGTGAAAATTTGCCGAAATTAAATACCTCTCGAACGTTCCAGCGAAATTTGATGGATGATGCTCACTATCAAGTTGAAAGCTGACGGTTTAGGGAAGTTTCCTAGTTGACCTGGTCTCTTAACCTGTGCAATATAGGCACATAACTCGTCGAGTATAGAACATTTCGTCAGTTTTACCAAGGGACACAATAATAGAACAATTAACAGAACAGATAACTTTAAAAAGGCTCCCATGTCTTGCTAAACAATTTACTCAAAACCTGGGGTTTCATATTAGAAATGTTGCCCACCTCTCCAATTGTCTTTTCGATTTTATAGTAGTCTTCATCTGTCTCCCCCATCAAATTGTGCTGCTTAGCCAAGTACCGAGCAGTCGCCATGCTCTCAGTCATCATCGTCTTCTTTCCGCAAGGTGTTGTCACTTCCAGAATGGGTAGTTTTCCTCCAGGAATAGTGGATTTCTTAGATGGCCAGTCGGAAACTTCAATCCGACAGTCTTCGAACGGCGTGCCGGAGACAATGAGAATCATACGAATGGGCTCCGCTCGTCCTCGCAAATTGAAGTAAGTTAGCTGGAATAGTTGAGCAAATGAATTTGGTGAGCCAGTTGCTGTGTTGCAGCGTACCAGTTTTTATGAAGTTTTTCAGTTTTTCCTACTGAAATCAGTCAAACACTTCCAAAGATCTACAGAACAGCGCTGACACCATATACAACTATATGTCACTAATCTTTCCTGTGAACTGTAGCCTGATTCGTGCATACAAACCTACAAAGATCGTTCATCACATTGCCTTCAGAACAAGAGAATTAAAATCAGCTGGGTGGTCGTAGACACAGAGTTGGACGTGCAAGCTTCACGCGAAAAGTACATTGAGCAGTCTTTGGCTAGCTACCTTGATAACGTTTAAGTGAGAGTCATTTGATCTTTGATAAAGGCCACCGCCAATAATTCAGTTGTCTGACAGTGACGTTAATCGATAGAGGTGATGACGATGGTTGAAAGGCTTGTGCCAGTTTAATACCACAGGTTTTGTAGCGTCTTCTATTGGTTCCAGTGGATCAAGTCGTGCTGTGAAGTAATTATATGTGAGTTACAGGATGTTCTTCTTTTAAAGATAAAGGTTACCATCTGTAGTGTAAGGATATTTTAGGATTTCAATGCAGATTTGGCCCTAAAACCAGAGCACTATTCTTCTTAGCTTTTGACCATATGCTTGCTTTAGCATGGGCTGTTCATTACCCGGACGAAATCTCCATTAAAAAGCTTTCTGGATATGAATGAAACATGAACTCAAAGATCTTTGAGTTTTGTTCTCCAAGTGACTTGTTCCAGTATCAAAAGGCAGCAAGAAGAAATGTCACACGCATGGTGATATGAAATTCAATATTGTTCTCTTTTTGCCACCTTCAATTACTCAAACATACATTGAATTGGCTGTTACGAAGCGAAAAAAATGTAATAAGCACCATATAGACTATATAGCCATTGAGTAAAATGCATGTGTTCCATCGTTCGGCCTCAAACTCACAACAGCCCATCATCCGTTAACAGGTGAAGAATTTCGGTTCACCGAATGTTCACTTCCCAAAATTCGTTACCTAATGGTCTAAAATTTGTTCTTTAAAACTATCAAGTTTTTTGTTATAGATCAATGACTGTTGTACATGTACAGGACGTGGTCCTGGCTGTGTGGTGTCCGTGATTAGAGAAGATCGAACAAACGTTGGTCGGATTCGTCCCTGAGGTCAGAATGATGGCAGATGGACAAATGTAGCACAGAGCAGTTTGACACTGCCACCGGCATTTAAACTTTAACCAGGTATATCAAACAACTGTACACTGCAACAGTACAGACTTTGCCTCTAAATATATGTTAATCCAAACACCTTGTAGGCGTGTGGTTGAAAAATGGAACTGAACTTAACTCAGGTGTTTTGAGTCTCATTCGAAGTCCTTATTTTCCCACTTCGTATCACAGGTTTTCATCAGCCTGACCACTACTCGGTCGTTAGCTTCTGGAGGAACATCATTTTATAACCTAACCTCCCTGGAAGGAGTTATTTTTCATCCAACCTTGCAAACACCTAAATGTGACATTTTACGGAGCCAGTACACTACAGACGCTACTCACAACCCCAGTGACCCACTTCACACGTGCGCATGACCCTGATGCTTATGCGGTAGTTAAGTCAGTAAACTACATTTTCAGCGTTGATTTAGTTCGCTCTTCAGCTCCGCTCTGCATTTGCCCGGACATCAAGTCCTTGATTGGACCGGTATGGAGTGAGCAAGATTGTTGAGTTGGAAATTTTCGCTGCTGTTTGTTGGGTCCGTGTCTAGGCCGATCACATCCCTCTCAAACACCCATAACGGATAGGTGAGCAAAGCGCTCCTAACAGGTGACCCAAGTATGACGATCATGTGGGTGAGTTTGGCAGTGGTTCATCGCCTTTCTCACTCCCCGTCCGACACTGTGACTACACGAAAGTCAGATGACGCACTGCGCTCTGGCAAAATCCGTGAAAAAATGTTGCCACCTATCAAGACAGGAAATCGTAGTTACTGTCATGAAGGCTGGAGTCTACAAATACTGATGCTTATTTGACGATGGAACGCTCGGGAGTGGAGACAGCAACGATGATGGTTAAATACATGACCCAATTAGTCCGTTGGTTGCCGTTAGGTTTCTTAGCTTCGAGTCCCGTGACCGTGTGGTTCTTTCGCTCGTAACGGCTGATAGACTGGGTCAACGTCGATGTTTTTATTGATCGATTTTTGTGCGGAGTATCACGCCTCGGCAAATTCTCGCTCCCGTTTTGTTCTTGCGTGAGCGAGTATTCGAACATTGTCCCAATTGAACGTGTGCCCTTCTCTGTCTTCGTGGATTGAGACAAGTGACATTGGGTCATGTCTTCTACTGGCAAGCTTGTGTTCGTGTATTCTCGTAGCAAGTTTTCTTCCCGTTTGGCCAACATAATGTTTATCGCAGTCGTTGCATTCAAGTTTGTAGACCACGTTTGTCTTCTTCAAAGTATTCAAACTTCCATTTGGTTTCGAGAGGGTTCTTCTCAACGTGTTTGTAGGCTTAAAGGCGACTGCACTTCCATGTTGCCGTAGGTGTCGTGCAGTCATCGCCAAGTTTCTCATATACGGAGGAAGGTTACGCTGCCGTATATCAGAATCATAGCGGAGAGGACTGCACGGCACCTACGGCAACATGGAAGTGCAATCGCCTTTAAGCCTACAAACACGTTGAGAAGAACCCTCTCGAAACCAAATGGAAGTTTGAATACTTTGAAGAAGACAAACGTGGTCTACAAACTTGAATGCAACGACTGCGATAAACATTATGTTGGCCAAACGGGAAGAAAACTTGCTACGAGAATACACGAACACAAGCTTGCCAGTAGAAGACATGACCCAATGTCACTCGTCTCAATCCACGAAGACAGAGAAGGACACACGTTCAATTGGGACAATGTTCAAATACTCGCTCACGCAAGAACAAAACGGGAGCGAGAATTTGCCGAGGCGTGGTACTCCACACAAAAATCGATCAATAAACACATCGACATTGACCCAGTCTATCAGCCGTTACGAGCGAAAGAACCACACGGTCACGGGACTCGGAGCTAAGAAACCTAACGGCAACCAACGGACTAATTGGGTCAAAGGAAGACAATCACGAAAAACAGAAGGCCAATCAAATGAGCAAAACCCACCCCACAAAGCAAGAAGGAAACGACCGAATCACAGCATGACAACCACATACAGAACTGCCGAATTGAATGCACCCAACGAACCAACCAGACACAGGAGATTGAAACCACGTGAGATTCACAGGAGACCAATCAAACTACACGACGACCGTTTCCAGAACTACCAGATACTGTTTAGAAGCTATATAATCACAGGCAGAAGAGGAGGAATTCACCCACTCAACCCTGCACTGACAATGTCACCTCGATTGGTGATGAAACGTTTGCAATCCAACTGCCAAGCTCGGCGAACAGACCAAGAACCAAGCAGCAATCCTTCTTCCCAAAAAATATTCTAACCAGTAGCTTTGTGAATCAGGAAAGTAAACTTGACGGACCTGCACGCCCCGATAGTCGTGCTTTGAAATCTCCTGGTGTGATTCACACAAACAGAATGCCGTATTCGATTGATGATGGTGAAATCTGCCCTTTCTACCTATCCCTTACAACATTCCCGCCATATTCCCACTTCCAACAGACAACATTACTGATCAGTATTCGGAGATGTGTATCACCAATTGCACTACTAACAACCTCAGAGTGTAGTAGATTCGCACCATGTATTCGTTCCCTGAGGAAACAAGGTAAAGGCATTTAGATCACCTTTTCCTTTGAGTTTAGTGAAAAGCTTTTTTGCGAAAGAATTCCAAAGCTCAGATGGTTTACTACATCGCGTTGGTGTCTATCACATTAGGTATTTAGCATTATTTATCGGAAGTGATCTTTCGTAATTGCAACGGGCGACTATAGCATGCAACATGAGAATTTCAACAGGTATATTTGAGGCACTCACTTTATACTGTGACATCTTGTTCACACAGAAACAGGCGACAAAAACAATCGGATTGTTCTCCGATAAACGTCTTTATAGATGACAAAATGGCGGATGCGGTACGTCAAATGGCAATGCGTCAAAAACTGGCCAATCACCGATTAGCAATGGTCAGCTGATCATTCGCTCATGGTTTAGTAGACAGGTTTATGGGAGTTTGAGAACTTAAGAATGAACAACCCGCCTGCCATTTTTACCAATGGATGACAAGAAATCCCTAAAACCACCACAGGTATTTATTTTCAGTCTACAGTCGGGATGGTATGCTGGCGTTTGACACCCAACAAAACATCGTGAATATTGTCTAGCGAAATAGCAAGCGAGAATTACATGGTTGAATGCCCAGTCGTTAACTTCTCCACAAGTAGAATTTACGGCTTTTAACCAGTGAAATTTTCAACCTGACTAATACCGATTTTCCGGTATTCTGTCATGTATGATGAATTGGATCCTAGGAAACACAGCACAGAATTGCGTACAGTCGTAATCTTTCTGAACAGTTATTAGATTTTTTGTGATTGCTATTCGACCGGTCAAACCAAAAAAAACAAGCAGGGACCAAAACCTTCATAATCCTCCCTGACTGTTACTGCATACACAAGCGTGAATAAGTTTGCCTGTTTCGATGTGATAATTTTGATGAGTCCAGCATGTGCCGGCTGAGTGGTGGTGACACTCGCTTCGAATGTCAGATGTCCGGCACGGGTTGCCGATGAGTTCTAATAAGGGCAAAATTCGAGTTCCGTGCTGCCCCATTAGTGTGGACTCCCTGGAATTGGTGCACCAGGACAGGTTCAGGACTTTTAAGACAAGACTAGCGTCAACCTAAATTCTACAAATCTCGCATCGAACTACGACTAACCTAATTTTTATCGATATCCTTAATTTGTTCACACCACTCCTTTTGAACACGTGCTGTTCTTACCCAGTCATGCTCTTGTGTTCACATCAAAGGGGGACAGCTTATTATTGAAAAATGATCAAAGCTAATGCCAACAGTGTGTGTCTCCGGGCTCAATAAAAAAGGTGAGGCAACTTCAGATCGTTTGGATAATGCACGGCAAGCCAAAGAGTTACGGATCAATGCAAATCCCTTACTCACACTGTATGCTTTTTCGGTTGGCTGAATATCTCAACTATGATGGATACGCTGATGTCATTCCTAAGTCACGGATGAATCAGGCTCATGAAAGCTACTGTGGCCTTCCCAATCCTGACGGGTGGCACCTTTGGTTAGGCCACCGGGAATGGTACAGCTGTCGAGGCAGACGAGTCCGTTTATCACTTCAACCGGCTCATAAGAGAGCACGGGAGAGCGGTTCGGACCCGTAGCACTTTACACTTCGCAGGTGTGAAGAGCATGCCACTCCGTGAGGTGGAATTATTTACATTATTTAGTGTTGTCTACCCTCTGAGGACGTAAAAATACCATCGATGTGATGTGAGCATAGCTCGAGTTTGGTGGTAATACCGGGTCAGTTATGCTGAAGTACGTCGAGTGGATTTTAGAAGAGATAACTTGCTCACGAGTGAAGAGCTGATCATACTCCATAAGTTGCGATAGCTTGGTCATGTGTTCCTTATGCCCGTTGACCGACTCACTGAAGAGCACTTTTCGCCGGCTATGAGAATGTTAAAGAGCCAGGGGAGGTCAAGCAATGACTTGGCAGCAAAGTATTATAGCTGCGCTGACCCTTTCGGTCTTCCTGGATGATGGGCCCAAGATAGGCCACATCGAACGTGATAGGCATTGTCAGGCATGGCCCAGTTGTGCCCTCAATGGCGACCATGGACCCAGAATGTTGTCCTCATTGCATAACTCCTCTACCGATCTCTCCGATGAGAGTGTGACTTCTGTACTTGCTCATCAAATTCGTCAGCCACTACCTCAAAACCGTAGCCATCTTCCCAATCACCTCACTTGATCGGCGAACAAATCTATGGTAGTTATACACACTGTCCTGCAGGCATGTTGTTTCTACAACTAGTGATCATTATGATGATGGTGATGATGACGACAGTGATGGTGAAACATTTTACCTATATTTGCTTGAGCAGTCAACTAACAAAAACTTTGTTTTGTATCCCACGTACGCAAGGCATAGGAATGCACCTTCATTAGGAGTATCGTATCGAAGTAACCATACCGCAAAAATGTGGTGATGTTGTACACTGTTATAGTGCGTTTGGATGTAAAACATAGTTGTTTTGGCATTTTTAACTTTTTTGTGGAAGAACAAGTTTGAGGCCGGCGCTGCCTTTATCTCAGGAAATCTGTCTTCAAATTAAAACAGTACAATATCCTGGCAAATGTCCTGACCCCAGGAATACTAACAGGGGCATTGATGGAAGAATGCCAAAAGTGAGGACTTGACCCTTTTAGAAATTAGACATATGTTAATGATTGTTTTGCAGCTTTATATCTTGGAAACATTTTAAAAACAGTCTACCCATAAAACATTTTACCCATACCATGAATTCGAATTAATATTAGTTTCGTTTTTAGAATAAATTCAATGCGGACGTATGTTTATAACTGATTAACATAGCCAGTTACGGTAGGCGCACTATGTAAATGAGCGTTTCTTGAAAACCTTGGTTGTCAGTTTCTTTAGCAATGTGTGCAACATGGAGGCAGGTTCAGAATTAAGTTCTACCCGTTATCAAACCAGTTACTTTAAAGTAATATATTAAAATCGATCAACACATTACTCCCTCAGACCCACTAACGCTCTAGTATATGTGAAAAAGTGGGAGAAACCTTTTCACAAAGGAAACTACTCAAAAGGTTGCTGAAAACTCTTCGGCAGCCCACGACCGTGTTCACCCTTCTTGGGGCTCATAAGGTGAGAGAAAACGTTGTCTAGGACTAGCCCAACAAGTTCGTGGGTGTTTATCCTTATGGATATAGGTCCAACAGCGATATCGTCGCTGAATTTTCTGAGAAACGCATATTGTATTAAGTAGTGTGTAGTAAGTTGGTAGTAACTAACCAGTAAACCTTTTCGCTCAGTCAATCATTCAGTAAACTAATTAATCTTTCAACTTCTCAATGGATACTAGCGCGACTGTTGACTAAATCGCAACCGAATCTCATCTATGAATTTCATTTATAATACTGGACAAAGATTGTCTTATGCCTCAGCTAGGACGCTATTCAATGCATCAAATCTTTCACAAGATACTGCTTCCAAGGAAGATGGTTTGCCCCTGGGAATTTCCGCAAACCAAATGATAGTATGCAAATACAGCTCTTGATTTATGCGCAGGGCATAGCCTTTTCCATGTTCTCGTGAATGTCTCCAAACAGTTAAGAAGCCGGTGGTTTGCCGGCAAGCAATTAAATCTAACCACGCGTATGCTTATCACACGTAAACTACAAGATTACTTAAACAATTAAAAACTTCCTTTCCTGGGGAACCTGTGGATGAGTTTTATGGTAATCTTTAGAAATCCGTTTAACCAGTAATTTATTAGAGTTTATTCCAGATAGTTTTCAGTTTCGTTATTAGGAGAGATGTTCAACTTTTAGTTACTGCGCTGTACGTTTTGGGATATCCTCATCCTGCAAACTTCGTTATCCCAGAGTTTCGTTCTAAGTTAGTGTTTTGTACCCCTTCCAAAATTTTTATTGACTTTTTGCACTTGAAACTTCTACTCCAAACGACTTCAGAGACACTGGAATGTTAAAATCGTTAAAATTTCACGAAAACTGCCAATAATAGGTTGCTACCCCCGCTACCACGTTGGCTCGATCATGGCGGTATCCTACTTCGTACTGGTGATTCAGACGTCTTGATAACCACTATGTTTTATCACTTCGTCAAGAAGTTGAAAAGGGCTTGAAAGTAAGCCTACGTACGGGATGAACGGGATGACCCACCCCCAAACGACCTAGCTTTGTGTAAATTCGGGATTCTCACTTCACTAATTTGATAAATCTAGATGTAATTCAGTGTTCCCTTTGAAAGGACAGCAATGCCTGGGTGTAACGAGATGTAACTGAAAGGTGCGAGTTCTGCCTATACGTTTGCAATAATAAACTAAGTAAGAAACGAATCAATCCGATCAGTTCATCCAAGTTCGAATGATTCATTGCCGAGTCCCAGCGTCCACTTTGGCGCAACACTTCCGCCACTCGTATATTGTTCACCGAAGGAAATTTTAAGTGGTTAACAAGATTGGGGTTAATTCATTGAAAAGCGTATTTTAGTCCATCGCGACTGGGCCTACTCAGCCCGAATTGGAGAAGAACGCAGATGTAAAACGATATGGGACAAGGTAATTTTGATGCGGTAAACAAATCTTTGGTGAGCATATTGATTCGGGATGACTGCCAGACGGGTCAGAGAGTTCCCCTGTTATCGATGAGGACAAAATACGTTTGCAGTGTGGCTCCCGTACCAGCAGACGTTCGATTCCAAATTTCGTCTGTGAATTTCATACTGCAAATTTTGCCCAGATAGGACGATTTACCTTCAGCCAAGGACGTTAATGTCCACCTTTTGCTGAGGTTCCTCAAGGTCGCTGAGACCTTGGATATTGCTTCGACTGAAATATCTGAATTATCACTGCTTAAATTTTCCAAAAGTTCACTTTGTTTCTTTGGATTTTGTCTAAAACACCGTTTAATCTAGGCCTCGTTAGGTGACTGTCTCTCCAGTCGGAGGCGCTCGGAAAGTTTTATTACCCTAGGTACTTCTTAATGGTTCACATAATGTCAGAGGTAAAATTAGTCACAGAGAATTCATGTCACAATCAACTTCACAGTTGTGATAACAGTTCCAAATATCGAGCAGCACCTAAACTTTTCCTTTAGGTTATGGTGGATTACGCAACTACCGAAGGTTCAAGCGCACAGGCATCTTCGTTCTTCACTGCTAAGTCGCAAAGCCCCACATTTATTTGATGAGTTGGCTTTCGCGTCCAACTTTAGTGCTTCGGACGTTCGACAGCATTCGTACATTACCTACTAGAATTTGAGCAAAGATGCTGCG